AGTTGTTTTGTGTCGAAGTTTCTTTCCTGCAGCAGGGTAAGAGTGTGGCTAGTGCAACAAAAGTTGTGAATACAGTCAGCTTTTCAGTTCTCCACGAGATACCGTTGGTGGTCACGCGCAACTCTGCACAAACACACACAGATACACACAAAAACTGCAGCTGATGGGCTGCTTTTAAAGACGACTGCCAAACATACAAGAATGAGTCAGCTTTCTAAAAAGGCAAACGCACACAAGAGCTCACACCTGCTTTCCAGGTGGATATCACATTCTGCCTGTTTTTCAAGCACACTTGGTCCAGATGTTCCTCTGGTGCCTCCCTTCTCAACCTCAGATGACTGATTTCACAAGACACTGAATCACTAACAGAAAAAGCAAATGACACAACCAACTGAAGGAATCTGATAACTAATCAACAGCATCATGTGATCTGACAAAACAAATGCACACACGTCATTGAGTTCACTATAAAAGGTCAATCAGCCTCTATTGGGACAGATGTGTTGGAGATTGTTACATTAGAATTCAAGCAATCAGAAAGCATCAGAAAGAATACTTGTGTAATTCATTCTCTACAAAGTCTTCTCAATCCAAACCAGTCACTCTGTGGGAAAAATAGTGAACTGATTGTTAAGTTTAGTAATAAGGGATGCCAAAGATTGAACATTTCTTCAGCAAACGCCTAAGCAAAATGCCAGGGGGTTGAGGCAAATTTGTAGGTGAATTCACTTTTCTCCCTATATGACTGTGCCTTCATATCCTGTTTTGTGGTTTTATACAAGATGCGAAACACTTAAAACGTCTCAAAAAGGGGTGTTCAAACCTGTTCCTGGAGGGCCACTGCCCTGCAGTGTTTAGCTCCAATCCTAATTAAACACACCTGAACCAGCTAATCAAGGTCTTCAGACGGTTGTGGCTAGAAGGGATACAGCTATGGCCAGAAACAAACAATAAATGACATTTTCTATCTATTAGATTGTGTTTTATTAACATCTACACCTACCCCAACCCTAAACCTACCCCTTACAATAATGCAAATACAGTAATTATTGTTGTTCAGCGTGACGAAAATTACACTATATTGATGTGTGCTTGCCCAGTAGCTGCAGCTGTATCCCTTCTAGCCTTAACCTCTACAGACAGACTAGAAACTGGCAGGCAAGTGTGTTGGGAGCTGGTTGAAGCTAAACTCTGCAGGACGCTGGCCCTCCAGGAGCAGGATTGGACACCTCTGGTCTCAAAAATGTGACCCAACTCATTCGTGCAGTATGGAGAAAACACAATTATTTGACAGTACAGTGCTCCCAACTAAAAAACGCACATCTTTGAAGCTCTATGGGAAGTGAAACTTTTTATTTTTTACCTAGTACGAGTATACTAGAGATGTTTAAATCTACATTTTCATTATCGACTAGTCAGCATATTATTTTAAAATCAAGTGGGTCCTGTATAATAAATCTGTGTCATGTCCACCAGTCCCTTCAATAAAGTGACAAGCAGATATTAAACTATTTGGCTGTAAATGTTTGTTGCACAAAACTATCAAAGTATTCACTAAAGTGTGGCACAAAACTACTATGCTAAAACACTTTTCAGAGAAGTTGCAACTTTCAATTATGAGAATCTCTTTTCCATTGTAAAGCACTACAACATTTTTAGGGGACAAATCTAAATTTGATAGTGATTTAAAATGATTTTAAAATAAATAATAAAATAAATGAACAAACAAATAGGGTGGCACAATTTGACTAATCATAATAAATTATGGTTATTATTATTAGCAAATATTAAAATATTAAACTAAACAAGAAATATTACTATTGTAAAACTTCACTATGGAATAAAAAAGACTACTCAAGAAAAACAGTATAACAATAATAATAAATCATATAGTACAACTGTAAAATTACAATACAATTGTCTGTCTTCATTTTTTTTTTTAAATCAAGCTTTTATTTTGTCAGAAAACTGCCAAAATTGATGATTGTAATTTCCAAATGCATGTTATAAGCACCCCAAACCTGAAGCACATGCAGAGATTAATTTGTGTGGAGCAGCAATTACTGTGAATCCAACCGCTCTGAGACACTGAAAACACCAGATTATGAGCTGCTCACATGAAAATGAACATAGTGCCGCACTTCACTCTAAAGAATGCAGCGCATATATTTACATATAACCTCTGCAATCTGATAATCACACAAAGCCATATCGTTATTTCGGTTTTATTTCGATTAATTGTGCAGCTTTATAGCTGATCATCCTATATTAATAAATACATTTTAACATAAGCACCCAATATATATGACTGAATTAAAATATTCTGACCTTAAAGGTTAGACCACTTTACTAAGTGCTTCCAATGACAATGTTTGTTTCTTTTGATCTGGCTCTTAATGATTTAAGTCATCTCTTGGGATACTTGAAGTCAAACAAAGCCATGAGAGCATGAGAACGGAACAGCTTTTACACAAGGGGGAAAACTGACAGTTTTGTCCATAATTCAAGGAGTTCCAACTTTAAACGCTATAATTTGCAAATACATTATATTAATTATAGGAATGCACCGAATGTTTGGCAACCGAAATTATTCGGTTAAGCGAAAAGGCTGAATAATATGTACCGAAGAATGACATGACGCGATCAAATAGAGGCATGCACTAATGCAGCAAACATGAAGGCAGTGTGAAAGTATTTAAAACTATCAGAGAAAGACGCAGAAATCATTACAAGCACGAAGCACCGACCGCGAGAGACCATTTAGTGCTGCATCACATGTCTCCGATGAGAAGAAGAGGTGGCTGATGCTGGAGGTTAGGCTACTGTATGATGATTGAAATCGCCAAACAGATATCTGGGTGTGTACACACTTAGTTAATTATTTGCTCTGTATTTCACGTTGTCGTTTCCTCTACAGGGTCACACGGTTCACTAATAATTAAAAGGGTCATTTCAAATATGAATTTATGGCCAACGGAATACGTGCTGTTCAGCATGAAGAGTCAAACAAAACTATCAATGACTGTAGTACTTTAAGGGTGACGGGTCTTTACACAAATTCCCTCTGCTAGCAGGGATTTTCTTCATTGACTAATCATTGAGCTAAGTCAATACCCCATAAAACATGCACTTGATAACAAACCTATTAGCCACAGCTTGTGTTTCAGTCTGATATGTCATCTGATATGACAGTGAGGCCAGGTAAAGCTAACAGATGACCCAAAAAAACATTGATAAAACAAGTCTAGTATGCAAATCATACTGTACTTAAAAATGCTCTAAGAATTATAAGTGTGTGCATATATATGCATATATGTATATATGAATGAATAAATAATATATTTAAAATATATTTGTTATATGTTATTGTACATAATGTATAGTATAATAAAGTACCAAAAAAGTATTATGCATTTAACATTTTAACATACTTAAATTTAAAAAGGTGCAGTCTAATTGAAAAAAACAACAATGTAATGTACTTTGCTAAAATGTATACTATTACTTAGATTGCGCACTAAAACAAAAATTTAACAAATAGCACTTTAAGCTTAAGATAAGTTTTGTTCTTTAGGCCATCAGTAATCAGCCGTGTAGCTGTACTGAGCTGTAACCAAATATTATATAAACAGTAGGGATGCACCGAATGTTCGGCAACTGAAATTATTCGGCCAAAAATAGCAAAGAAATCTCTTTCGGTGTTCGGCCGAATAAGCGAAAAGTCAGAATAATATGTACCGAAGAATGACGTGACGTGATCAAATAGAGGCATGCACTAATACAGCAAACATGACGGCAGTGTGAAAGTATTTAAAACTATCAGAGAAAGACGCAGAAATCATTACAAGCACGAAGCACCGACAGCGAGAGACCATTTAGTGCTGCATCACATGTCTCCGATGAGAAGAAGAGGTGGCTGATGCTGGAGGTTAGGCTACTGTATGATGATTGAAATCGCGAAATAACCTCAAACGAATAGTAAGTAAACTGCAGAATTAGGGTTGGGTATCGAGAACCGGTTCCAAATTTCCAACAATCGGGTATTCGATAAGACATGTGCATTTCAATTCCGCTCAACGATTCCCCCGTTCGCATTTTAATGTGATTTTAAACTATTTAAGTGCAGGAAGGGAAAGAACTTGCACACTGTTTGCGTAATTTGTTTACTTGTCTTTAACAACTTAATGTTTGAAATTTATATTAGTCTAGTTGTTTTTTTCTGTGGTATTTTTTTTTTATAAAACCATAGACATAAAACAGAATAAATACGTTTGACCTACAACAGCTCTATTAATACATTTATTATAAATCAATCAGATCAAATTGGGATCTGTAATATATTCTAATGTTTTAAAAGAATTATCTTCTGCTCAGCAAGGCTGCCTTTATTTGTACAGTAAAAAATACATGCCTGATTCAAGTCTCAAAAATGGCCAAAAAATATTATTTTACTAACTTATTAATTTTAAGTTAAATTGTGCTTTGTTGGTATAGGCTAATGTCTGATAGAATGTTAAAAAAATGTTCAGTGTTAAGTAAATATTTTTTTAATTGTTGTTTTGTAATAGATTTTTTTTTTTTGAAAAGCAGGACAAAACAGTAAAAAGCACATTTTGGCTATTTAATTTATGCAATGGTGAAAAAAAAAAGGCAAAATAGGCCTAAATGGGGGGAAAATGTGAAAAACTGTGTTCGGTATTCGGCCCAGTGTTTCATTTTGTTCGGCTTCGGCTTCGGCCAAGAATTTTCATTTCGGTGCATCCCTAATTAATTATGAACAAACTGCAACTGGACATGTGTGTGAGCTACAACCAAAGACCATTTCCAAGCAAGGAAAAACCCTGCATAACTCTTCACATTCATGTACATCAACCTAAACAAACAATTAATTTCTCCTTTCATTCTCCACTGGTGAAAACAAAACAGGATGTGTCAAATGAGCTACACCACAGACTTTACACCACACCTCCTCAAGCTCAACAGAATGGCTTCATACTCACCGGGCTCAAGTTTGATGATCTTCACTGCTGCAAGCTCTCCAGTAGAGATGTTACGAGCCTGCAGAATACAAACACAAGGAGGGAAGAGTGATTTAAAAAGGAGAGAGCGAGAATAGTTTCCGATCAAAACACTGGAATGTGAGCGTGTAAGTGAGAGCCGTGTCTCTGATGGAAACAGTCTCATCGTTTCCAAATGGAAGTAGGACGACAGCCATTAAAACACATAAGCACACACAGAAAAGAGTCTTGTGGGCTGTCCTGGATGAAATGTCTATTTAATACCTCTATTTTAGACAACTAGCTTGAAGGTTTGCACACTTTTTTTGCTAGTGAATTTTCTTGCCATTTCCATGAATGTTTTATTATTAATGGATATGGATTTTTTAATTAACTTTACATAGACTCACAAAGAGAAATTTCAAATTCACCATACAAACATCTATGACATTTATAAGATTTTATGCATTTCCCAGACATTCTCAGGATTTCTGTGACTTTGTGAACTCTGCAGCTTGCCATATAACCTGCAGGTGTTATTTAGCAGTTCATAAAAAGTGTTTATCATAAGACTGAGCCAGATAAACAGGCCAGTATGATTGTGTGTGAATGTGTGAGACAACATGAGTTGCAAGACACATCCACATCTGAGTTAGAAAAACAAGTGTTTGGAAGGAAGTTACATGTGGCCTGAGCCTCAGTGAGAAAAACACAGCACACCACATGTACCACCAATTCAGTTAATGCCATCCAACCCTCTACATTGTGAGTAAATCACTCGCATATGCGACTAAATCTTCACTCTGGCGACTAAATGATGTCTAATATTAGCCAATTGCTAATAAATTCTCAGATTTTACTCGCCAGTGTATGAGTTGGAGGCTAGCGATTCAATTGCCAAGGTGTTCGTAGAGGGCTGCCATCCATCGATAACACACAACAAAGTAAATCGGTATGACTGCTTTGTACTATCTTTACTGTATGGTAAAACACACAGTAGCAGCACCATGAAAGCTATCAGTTATCTGAACCAGGTAACTACATTTTATTACCAAGCAGGCGAGATTATGCTGACCATAGCCCTATATCCTTATGAATACAGTTAACTAATCTTAATACAATTTTAAACTATATTCTGTAACCCATTATGCTTTAGAATACAATTCTTAAACTAGATTGAGACCAGTAAACCAGCCCAATTTGATCTGTGGCTGAGCAATATACTGAATATTCACAATATATCTGCAATGGTTTTGCTGCTTTAAACTTTCTTTTTCGATAAATTAATTCAAAGATACAATTTTTCATCATTAAAAAAAATGCTTGCTGCTGTAAAAATTGCTGTTTATTGTTCTATTTAGGGCTCTTTGAAATGTTATATTTTTCTCTAAATTCTGTTTTGTTTTTCCCCAAATTCTATGTTTCTGTGGTTACGTTAAATTTGAATAAAAGAAAAACAGTCAAATGAAAAAGAGTCTTTAACAATTTAATATATTATTAAAATTTAAACAATATTGGTGCAAATAAATTTTCCTAAATAAGCAAAAAGTAGTGTAGAAAACATGTCTTTGGTATTTTTACTGCATTTTTTATTTACTACATTTTAACATTTAGAGTAAAATTAGCTGATTTGGCTCAGCTGTTTAAAAAACATAAAAATGTTAAGTTGTTTAAAAACAAACACATAATGATTTATTAGATATAATACAAATCCTAAATATAGTAAAAACAGTTATAATTGAGATATAATGGTTTTAGGTTAGCATCCAGCCTTACAGTAAACAATAACCTTAGGATCCTAATGTAATCGGACGGATCAATGCTGAACCCTCAGATCATCCACATAACCAGCAGCCACACCCAGCCAGGAAGTGTGTCCAGTGAACAATAACAGAAGCAGTGAATGTAATACGCAGACCTGCACACACACACACACACACACACACACACACACTCACTACTGCACTCTGCTGAATGAATGGAAACTACAACATTCACCAGATTTCCAAGCACTTCCAGACCGCCGGCTACATCCAAATTCCTGGGGGACAATGTGTGTGTTTAGTCTCCAAATAAACAAATTAAACACTCATGTCGCACTCAGACTCAGCCAAATGCAAGTTAATAAATCTTTGATCAAAGTTTCCATGAGATCAAGTATATGATTTTTTTTATTGAATCTCTTGAGCATAATTCAGAATGAGAACTCACAGACCCCACATGCCCTTTTCATTTTCAAATATTTATTTCTACTGCATTTCTCAGCAAACACTTATGAGCAAAACTCCCGAAGATTAATTCAGTTTTTAGCCAGAATAAACCACAGAATAGATTTTAACATTTTCTGAAGAGTTGTGTGTGCATGTGTAAAAAACATGTGAGTAGTGAGTGGTTGCTAGGGTATTTCTATGCGGTTGCTAAGATGTTCTTGGTGATTTGGGTCATCCGTCAGGTGAAAAATCATATGTAGGATCACACACACATTATCTCAAGCACGATTTGAGGTTTCATATATGAATATGACTATAGCACAAACTAGGGATGCACCGATACCACTTTTTCCAGTACTCGCCCGATACCGATACTTTTATTTTTGGTACTTGCCGATACCGAGTACCGATACCAATATTTTTATTGCATTTGTACATTTTTTTAATATTGCGTACAGAAACCAAAAGAGTATGTATAATGTTAGTTGGTTAACTTCATTTATCAAAACGGTGCTGGACAAGATATATGCTGAACTTTAATATTAAGGATTATTCGTTTGTTCAAATCTATTAATCAAGTATGAGTATGAATAACAATAATAATAATAGTGATGCTTGCCACTAACTGCATCACCTAATATTTCATTTCCTAATGGTTTCTATTAGTTTTTTTTTTAACCATAAAAGACACTATATAAAACCTCACAAGAGTGTTCGCTAGGTCTATTTACATAATAAAGTTCAAACCAAACGGTTCTTTTCACGGAAACAACCAACCACATATGACATTAATACACTGAAAAGTTATTTTTCTCAGGAGCTGCTACTGAAACATTTTCTGACCTTATATGGCCTTTTTCTCTTGAGGGATTTGGAAAGGCAGTAAATGAACACATGCCGGGATAACACAGGGTCAGGAATGAGTCTCTTTAGATTCAGAGCTTTAATCTATGCAGGAAATATTCCACGTGTGCAGTGACAGTGCAAAAGCCAAACATTTCATGAATATGACTTTGCCACACTTTAAAAGCTTTTGGCTTCCTAAACAGCTAAAAAATAACAATATTAATAACTAAATAAATACATTATTATTTTTTCTTGCTACTGCTCATATCAGTAGCCCTCTCCGTATCAAATGGCAACCGAAGTGCCTAAGACTGATGACTCCAGGTAAAAATTCTGACCCAACACGGAAACACTACAACCACATAATCATATTAACAAACTGTTACTGGCTTAAATTGAAGCCAAATATCAACTGCACACATAGATGTATGTATATACATACATACATATATTACTGTTTGCTATATAATAGAGTTGTCTCTTGAATCCCAGGTATAATGGGTCCAGTACCTTATACACATCTCCATAGGTCCCGCTGCCAACTCTCTGGATCAGCTCAAAGTCGTGCTGCGGGTTTCTGCGCTGAATCTCCCCTCCGGACCGGCCCAGCAGATCCATGCTGTCGGACTGGAGGATTTACTACTTTAATGACCCAGATTCAGTTTTACAACAGACCTGCAGTCCACATCCCCCTGAAAAATAACAGAAACCAGAACAACATGAGATTAATAACAGCACACCTAAGCTTAGACAGACAGACAGACACAGACAAAATAGACAGATAGATAAGATAGTAGGGCTGGACAATAATTCAATATCAATATGTATCGCGATATAATTTTTTTCAATAACGGTGATATGATTTTTAAACACATTTCCGATATTTCGATATACATTACCAGTTTCTTTATAATGAAAAAGTGAAGGCATTTATAATGTTACAAAAGATTTCTATTTCAGATAAAGAATGTTCATATCGATATCGGAATTATATCGTATCGACCGAAATTAAGAAATATATCGTGATATCAATTTTGGCCATATTGTCCAGCCCTATAAGATAGATAGATAGATAGATACGTAAACCGTTAGACAGACAGACAGAGATAGATAGATAGATAGATAGATAGATAGATAGATAGATAGATTATAACTTTAAGCCTTTTTATAAAGACAACAAAAACATCTGTTAGCAAACTATACCTGCTTTTAATAGCGTAATTGGTGCAGATGTTTATACATTTTAAAAGTATTTATTTTTAAATACAATATAGGAGATTTTAAGCAGTACATTAAGTTATTTGGACACGTCAAAATTATTGACGGGTGTCAGGAAGTGTTAACTGTCCAAAACAGGTGGTTTGTTTTAAAAGTTCCCCCTCATGGTGAGAAAGACAGTTTAACTTTTTTTTATGTTTCAGTAATTAAATTTTTTTGTCTGAATCTCCGCGTATGAAGCTAACTCAGCTAACTTCTGCTAACTAATCTCACATAATCACTTCAGCTTGAAACTTCATTTTTAAAGACCAAATATAAACATACAAATATGTTCATAAAGCATAATCCAGATTTTACAGTTATATAGTTGCATTTAGCTGGTGAGCGTTTTAAGAGCCTTTCGCTCTAAGTGACAGTAACGTTAAAGTTCAACTGAAGCTAAAGTTAATGCTAATGCTATAAACAGCGTCAAACTACAACGCCAAAGAAATCACTTCAACTCAGAAACTTTGATGTAAACTTCACCATTTGAGCGATTAATCGTTGTCCTTGGAACTCATGAAGATTTAAAGTTTTCCTAACTGTTCATCCGAAGTTCATTTTGCGTCGAAATAACCATCCAAACAGGAACAGAGAGAAGAGCAAACTAACTTCAACTGAAGCCAGATCACTAGACCTCACACACAGACAGACACACACTCAAAACCGCGCACGCACAGACACACACACACACACACAGAGAGAGAGAGAGAGAGAGAGAGAGAGAGAAAAGCAAACATACTATATAAAAGCAAACAAAATGTTAAAGCATTACACAATATCTCTTTCACTTTAATTCACTCACTGTTAATTTCACTGTGCATTATTTGAGCATGGTACCATTAAGGACATAGTAGTAGGCTAGCTGGTGAGACAATGGTTACAGTCAATAGTTATAGTGAAAAATAAATAATTAAAACAATATATAAAACAATTAACTGGTGTTATTTATATTTGGTGTCTTCATTTGTAAGATTTCTTTTTCTTGTTTTAAATGATGTCATAACTATTGCTTATGATTTATAGTGCATGAAATCTAAACAAACTAGACAAAACATGTCTTTCAGTAAAAGACGGCTTATTATGGTCTTTCATTCTTGAACTCTTCTTTATTTTTATTTTTATTTTTTCTTTATTTTCTTTTTAGTGTACGCGTAGCGCCATCTAACGGATATTCTCAGATCCACCTAGCGAGGCTTATGAATATTACAATTTCTAATGATTATTGGGTGAACGTCATGTTTTACAGTTATTTGCAAATTCGCCGTCAGAGTGAGGACAGAGAGATACAATAAAGAGAAGAGACTGTACAGTAAATTAATAATAAAGTAGTGTTATAAATATAAAAAGTGTATTTTTTTATGTGTAAACGGCAAATATTGTTAAATCTATTATTCTAAGGGATTTCAGTGCTGACAGGTCTAGATATAATCCTAAATAATGACGCACTGATATCAGCAAAAATACTGAATTGAAATAATATGAGAGCTATAATTTAGACCAACCGTTCCTGGCCAATTAGAGACAGCGTCAGGGTCTCTAAGCCCCGCCCATTACAGTTAAGTTATTACATTATTATAGATGTTTACCAGCCGAGCGTCCCACAGCGCCACTAGGCGGTCCAATGGTGCGCTGCACAATTGTGTCCGATGAGAATGAGCCTCCATCACTGGCAGCTGATTTCCAGCATCGCATTCGTCTCATGATCGCTGTTTAGAACCGAACCGACCAGAATACTGAACAAAACACCCTGTGAGACATGGCACGAGACAAAAAGGACAGAGACAGCTGGGGTAAGTCCATTTTTAATACAACGTGAGACAGCCTATGAGACGGGTTATTGTGCGATTCTGTAAATTATGAGGATGCTGCTACATAGACACTCTGTCTGTATGTTCAGGAACACACACAACTAAACACAAACAAAAACAATGCTCTTCCCCTGTCCAAATCAGCTGATTTTGTCCGGACCACAGCCCTGTTCCGCCCTGTATCTGTGCGTGTGTTCGTGATGACAGCTCTTTTTTTTTTACTGCTGTAACATCTATATTGAAAAGCAATGTGATATTTGCAGTATTGTGATGTCTGTGGGAACACAAATTCGTGCTCGTTTGTATAATGCACCCACCCATTTCTTACACATCCCAGTCAATAATATGCTTTATTTTTAATACTACTTCCTTGTGTTATTGATACTGATGTTTCAGGCTAATTTATTAGATCACACGTCACTGTTGTTCTACATTGCAGTGGTTAAAATCAGAAGTGATTTGACTGTGTGTGAAGTGATGTGCATTGATGCCAGTGGCCCACATAAGCAGAGCTCTGTACATCTGCTACAGGCCTGTATGGAGATGCTGGTTTATATAATATACATGGTAGCCTTATGGAATGCTTGCTGCTCTAACCAGGCCTGACCAGGTGAATATGACATGATAGAGAGCAAGAGAGAGAGAACAAGAGAGCTCTACAAGCTAATTTGAATGTAAATAATTTACAGTGTTGGGACAGTATTGGTATCGCTTTGGTGCTAACCAATGGCAGAAGTGTAAACACAATGCTGTGAACAGCTTCATCACATCCTTATAATTTGACTTGGGCCCACTAAGGTCCTTTTAGCCCTATATCCTTTATCAATATCCATTACTGTTCAGTTGCATTTAAGAAATGCTTGACAAATGCATTAATTAGAGGGCAGGTCCTCCAGAGCAACCTGCTGTTTTACTAGTTCACATACTCATATAATGCTTAAAAACACATTAACCATTAGGGTAGCAGCTGGTATAATGCTTGACAACCAGTTTTGTTGTTACATTAGGTCTGAGATGTACTTCAGGACCTCTTAAAGGGTTAGTTCACCCAAAAATGAAAATTCTGTCATTAATTACTCACCCTCGTGTCGTTTCAAACCCGTAAGACCTTCATTCATCTTCGAAACACAAATTCAGATATTTTTGATGGAATCTGAGAGCTGTCCAGAAAGTCCAGAAACGTAGCAAGGAGATCGGTAAAATAATCCATGTGACATCAGTGGTTCAACCGCAGTTATACGAAGCTACGAGAATACTCTTTGTGCGCAAAAGAAGAAAAAAAAACGACTTTATTCAACAATTCGTCTCCTCCGCATCACCTTGGTGCCATTTTGGAGAATATCCGCTGGACGTAAACAACGTATGCTGTTCTGTGTCAGCTGCGTCACACAGATACGCGGTTTTCGTTCACATCAAATCACAACAACGTAGGAAACAGATCCGGTGTGACGCAGCTAACACAGAACAGCATACGTTGTTTACGGTCAGTGGATATTCTCCAAAATGGCACCAGGGTGATGTGGAGGAGACGAATTGTTGAATAAAGAATATAATATGAATAAAGAATATAATTGCGGTTGAACCACTGATGTCACATGGATTATTTTACAGATCTCCTTGCTACGTTTCTGGACTTGGGAACATTTCAGTTGCGTTGCTGTCTATGCAGGGTCAGACAGCTCTCAGATTCCATCAAAAATATCTGAATTTGTGTTCCAAAGATGAACGAAGGTCTCACGGGTTTGAAACGACATGAAGGTGAGTAATTAATGACAGAATTTTAATTTTTGGGTGAGCTAACCCTTTAACCAATAAAACATCTCTATGAGCCACATCACACTAGCCTTGATGACAAAGGCCAAGATCATCACTAAAGCTCCATTAGGACTGTCTGCTGCATTAAGCTTTACTAAACCATGACTCCACAATTTGCCCCAGGAGAATGTTAGATTGAGAAAATAAATATTTTTTTATGTTGAGTCATTGCAACTGAAATGCTCTTCCATAACATTTGTCTTATGATCACTCGTCTCTGATTTCGATTTAGGCCTAATTTGATATCAAATAGATGATTATCTAAAGCATAATGTGGAATAATGCTCCATTAATTCACACACACACCCCAGCAGAATTATTACTGTTAACTAAACCTAACTATTAAAAACATGTTAATTAAATTTGTTTTTTTAATGTTTTTTTTTTATTTGTTAATTTAAAAAGCTGAAATTATATATATATACTGTATATATGTATATAAAATGTAAGTCAGGTCAAACATATTAAGTTGAAGCACTAAAATTACTAATTGTAAAATAAAAACCGAATTGGAAGTAAAACTAAAATTTAAATAAACATGAATTAAACCTAAATAGTAATATGTAATAATAATAATAATAAAATGACAAAGGCACATATTAAAATGACCAAAATTAAATTAATATTAAAATGAAAATATTTGTATGAAAAAAATATAAAAAGAAAAGCAAATTTGAAATATTAATATAAAATATTATATAAAAACTAATACTAAAATAACACTGCACCACACAGTGTACTAACAAACAGACTTTCACTTTTTTTTTTAGTAATTTGATATAGAGGTATCAGTACAACCCATAAATTATAATCCATATAGAGCACTGCATTGAAAAGCAGCAGCTTTAAGAGCATTAACAGTACATGACGTCTCTGTCGGTTGCGGTTTGCTTACATTGCCGGATGTCTATGGTTACCAGTTACCATTTTGACAGTCGCTGCAATAGCAGGACTAACATATTTAAATGTGGTTGTGCTCAGGATCTTTCGTGGATAAGAACGTGTATGACTGGAGCTCAGAGGAGGAGGAGACAGACGGACGGGCGCGTCCGGTGCAGGTGCTGGTGGTGAAAGATGACCACACGTTTGAGCTGGACGAGGCAGCGCTCAGTAAGATCCTGCTGGCTGAAGAGGTCAGAGACAGAGAGGTGGTGGCCATCTCTGTGGCAGGAGCCTTCCGCAAGGGCAAATCCTTCCTCATGGACTTCATGCTGCGTTACATGTACAGCCAGGTGTGATTGGCTTTAATTCATAGTCTAAAGTAGAAAAACATGTACAATTGCTCTCAGACTAGTTCCAAATCACAATCATCTTCTTTTTGAAGTTTGTGTAATCTGTAATATGTGTGTCTGCATTCAGGCCAGTGATAAGTGGCTGGGGGACGCCGATGAACCGCTGATGGGATTCTCATGGAGAGGAGGCTCAGAGCGGGAGACCACTGGCATTCAGATCTGGAGTGAAGTCTTCCTGGTGGACAAACCAGATGGTAGCAAGGTAAGAACCAAACCTACCTAAAAATACCTACCTACAGTACACTACTGTTCGTAAGTTTGTATGTTTTTGAAAGAAGTCTCACCAAGGAAAGATGGTCAACATGGCTGCATTTATTTAATCAAAATATGAAAAATAATAATAAATAAAGTGACTTACAATTAAAAATAAGTGTTTTCTATTTTAATATATATTTTTAAATGTAATATTTTAAAATATGTGATGGCAAAACTTAATTTTCAGCAGCCATTACTCCAGTCTTTAGCGTTACATGATCCTTCAGAAATCATTCTAATATGCTGATTTGCTGCTCAAGAAACATTTATTATTATTATCAATACTAAAAACATTAAATATTTTTGTACAAACTATAATAATTTTTTTCAGGATTCTATGATGAATAGAAAGTTCAAAAGAACAGCAATTATTGACTTATAAATCTTTTATTACATTATAAATTATTTTACTGTCACTTTTAATAAAATACATGGATCCTTGTTGAATAATAGTAAACATTCTGACTCTGAACAATAGTGTATA